GGGCTTTCTATCCTCTTCCATTGATCTATTTTTCTGTTTCTGTGCCAGTACCATACTGTCTTGATTACTGTAGCTTTGTAGTATAGTCTGCAGTCAGGATGCCTGATTCCTCCAGCTCCATTTTTTGTTCTCAAGATTGCTTTGGCTATTCTGGGTCTTTTGTGTTTCCATACAAATTGTGAATTTTTTTTGTTCTAGTTCTGTGAAAAATGCCAGTGGTAGTTTGATAGGGATTGCGCTGTATCTGTAGATTGCTTTGGGTAGTAGAGTCATTTTCACAATGTTGATTCTTCTAATCCAAGAACATGGTATATCTCTTCTTCTATTTGTATCATCTTTAATTTCTTTCATCAGTGTCTTATAATTTTCTGCATACAGGTCTTTTGCCTCCTTAGGTAGGTTTATTCTTAGATATTTTATTCTTTTTGTTGCAGTGGTAAATGGGAATGTTTTCTTGATTTCACTTTCAGATTTTTCATCATTAGTGTATAGGAATGCCAGAGATTTTTGTGCATTAATTTTGTATCCTACTACTTTACAAAATTCATTGATTAGCTCTAGTAGTTTTCTGGTAGCATCTTTAGGATTCTTTATGTATAGTATCATGTCATCTGCAAACAGTGACAGCTTTACTTATTCTTTTCTGATTTGGATTCCTTTTATTTCCTTTTCTTCTCTGATTTCTGTGGCTAAAACTTCCAAAACTATGTTGAATAATAGTGGTGAGAGTGCCTGCCCATTCTTAATTCTGATCTGGGGCAGTCTCATTAGCATGTAACAGGAATGATATTATAAAAAATATTTAACCAAACTATATCTAACTGCCCCTGTAAATAATGTTGTTATATAGCCCATTCATCATTAAGATTAAATAATTAGGATTATAACCTCAACCAAAGAGAAACAAACTACTGCTTATACCTGGATCAAGAAACATAGGGTTGGGCTTCCCTGGTGGCGCCGTGGTTGAGAGTCCGCCTGCCGATGCAGGGGACACGGGTTCGTGCCCCGGTCCGGGAAGATCCCCCATGCCGCGGAGCGCCTGGGCCCGTGAGCCATGGCCGCTGAGCCTGCGCGTCCGGAGCCTGTGCTCCACAACAGGAGGGGCCACAACAGTGAGAGGCCCGTGTACTGCAAAAAAAAAAAAAGTCAGAAAGAAAAAAGAGGCAAAATAATAAATATAATAAGAGAGTTCACCAAAGGAGCCTGACTGTAGAAACAATGTTCCATCAAGAGCTTTTATACAAACAAGCAAAAATCATTTCCCATAATACTTACTTTTGATGGAAAAAAATATATATAAGTACAAAATTCCAAAGGCACAAAAGACAGAAAAATAAAAATGAGTCTTTTACTGACTTTTCCCCATACAAACCCAATATATCCAAAAGGAGGCAAAAAGTGTTATGCCTATAAATGTGTATCACTACACAATTTTATATGATGATTTAAAAAAAGATAATTTTTACTAAAATAGGAAATTTAAAATCATACACAACAGATATATAAAATGTTTATAATAATATGCACAACACAGTGTGCTCCAACTTGTTTTGCCTCACAAAAATGAGGCAATTTTGGTGAGGGAAGAAAACAGTCCCATTTCCCTTGGTGCTAAAGCAGTCAGGGCGGGGGTGTTCCTAAGTTTCCTGTGGGCCAGAGCACGTCCTGAGAAGGTACCTGGGGCAGACGCCTGCTCACAGGCACCAACACACCCTCCCTGCCAACACACGCACCCCACCTGCCACAGGCCACCCAGTGAGCAGAGGGTCCCCAAGTCAGTGAGGGGTTCCTGGGAGAAAGGGTTGTGCCCCAAGAGGAATTCCACAGCAGGAAGCCACAGCGGGGATGCTCAGCTGGGTGCATAAAGGTCCCAGAATGCACCAATTATACCGTGAGAATGGAGTGATGAGTGGTGCTGGGTTAACAGGTTATCCATTTGGAAAAGGAGCCAGGAAATTCCAAGTATATCCCTGAGACAACCCTTTAAGTAGAAAGGTATGAAAGAATTAGGAAACCATACAGGAGACTCCTTTTGTAATTGGGAAGTGGGGAAGGCCGTCCTAAGCCACACGCAAAAGCAAGAGGCAATAAGGGAAAATGAGCCTTCAGGGGAAGAGGAGGTCGTGAGTAAAGTGAAGGGGGAAGTGACAGAGTGTAAGGTGATCCATACAGCATGAGGAGCAGACAAGGGACTGACTGATGCCCCACAGGACTGTGCTGCAGTGCCCATCGCATCTTCGACCAACCGGTGGCCTCTAGGAGGAGGTGGGGGCCAGTGCTGCACACAGCTGTCACACTCTTAGCCTAAAGGTGCTTTGGTGGCCCAGTGTAGAGACCGACTTGGTGAGGGCTGTGCCTGTCCCTGGTGACATTTCAAAGTGAGGGGATCGTGGTTGAAACTGCTCTGAGAGTGGCACTAAGGGCCCCCGTGGGGATGCATTGTGTGAGGCTGGGTGTACCAGCTGGGAAGCTGGATCTCTGCAACCTTGCCTGCACTTATGGCAGGGAGGGGTGCAGTGGGGGGTCAAATAACAAACTTCCCAGGAGAGGTAGCAGGCTGGGAGGGCCCTGGGAGTTAGTGCAGAAATCAGTACCTACAGGCACAAAGTGTAGACAAGATAATGAGATGAAGAAGAAGGGAATCCAGGGCCCTTTCTGGAGCTGGAGGGCAGTCTGTGGAGGCAGTTCCAGATTTACCAAAGAGACAGCTTCGGCTAGGGCGGCCCCATCAAGGCAGGCACCTCCCCACAGAGTGTGACAAGCTCAAGCTTTGATGACCTTGTCTAATGTTTGCCATGGAGAAACCTGGCAAGAAGCTCATTTGGTTGCAGAAGAGAGGCGGCTTAGTTTGTGCTTGGTGGTCCCCTGCCGTTTCATTTTTGAGTTAAGCATGGGAGGAGGCACCTTAGTCTTTCCAGTGCTGAAAGCCTCTGAATGTCTTAATCAGGCCCTGACTGGCAGGCATGTGCCCCGCCCCCTGCACCCCCCCTCCACGCCCCCCTCTGAAGTCCCCCTCTGCACCCCTGTAGTAGGCAGAACTGGGAACTGGGCTCCTGCCCTGGCACAGCAACCAACAAAGGGATGAAGGGCAGACCAGAGCCCTGTGCTTCCACACGCAGGGAGTGTTTTCGGGAGGGCAGTGCCAGCAAATGGAGAAGGGGCTCTTGACTTGGGCCAAGACCACACCGTGGAGACACATCAATGCTGGCAGGCTGCCCTGTGACAGAATTGCTCAGGAGATGGGCAGAAGGTCTCCGAGGCCCTCCCTGCGATAGGAGTCAGCTGTGGCCTGAAAGTGCCAAATGCCTGCCTCGGAGATGGTGGACCTACTACCTGTGGCAGGACTCAAAACGGGGTACTCGGCAGAGTGCAGAGCAGGAGGGAAGCACGTGTTAATTTGGGACCCCGAGCCAGGAGGAAGGAGAAATGCTCTGCCTTTGGGCTGAGATTACAGAGGCTGAGCAGTAAGGTGTCGCTGAAGACACCATCGACCAGCAGGCTCCACTGGGACAAGTGGATGCTGGGCTGCCCGCAGGGCAATCCTGCGTGGGAAACAGACTGCCCAGCCCACCTGAGGCTGGCTTGGGAGAAAGGGGGGACCACATTAGCAGCTCTTTGGAAACAAGACAGGGCCCCAGAGCCAGCAAACAAAGCCCCAGCGGGGTGAACATTGCTGGGGGTGTGATGTTGCAGCAACCACAGTCACATGCTGGCCAATCAAGGCAGCAGGGCCTGGGAAGGGGCAGAGTCCCTGGCAGGCACCCGTGACTACTAGTCAGCCCAAACTGTGGGGTGGATGAGTACAAGCAGGAGAGTGGCAACCCACCTGCTCCCCAAACTCCAGGAGAAGGGAGGAAAAAATTGAAAAAAAAACCTAAAAATTTGAAATAAAACTATGCTCTATATGGAGGAGGGCAGTCAGAAGGCAGAGCACTTGTACACAGCTGATGCCCAGGGAGCAGTGGCCCAGAGTCACATCCCAGAGAGACCAGGAGAGGGCACCGAGCTCAGAAGCAGCACTGCCCAAAGGAAGCTTCTTGTCCCCTCTGTTAGCCAGGGCTTTGAGGAAGAGAACCATTTCACGACACATCAAAAACACGCAGGGAACCTGGCTTTGGTGATGCAGGGGCTGAGGCTTGCTGGGAGGGGTCTGTAAATGTTGGGAGGGGGTGGTGGAATGAGTTGCCCAGATTCATGGAGTGGTTCAGTGTGCAGGGCTGTGTTCTTCCTTTCCTCCAAGGGGTGCCAGGGGCTTGGATGGAGGGCATGAATATGTCTCCTGATGGATGGACCAGCCATGGCCATGCCACGCCCCTCAGCATCTGCCCTCCCACCCCTTCGGGGACTCACGGAGGCCTCCACTGTCCCCTTCCTGGATCCCACAGAAGTACCAGGGATAGGGCAGAAAGGAGGTTCCCCAGAGGAAGCAACGGCCAAGCCTTTTCACTCGGCCAGGAATTTGAGCTTGGCATCCCAAGGAAGGGAGGGGGCCTGGAAGTAGGTTTCACAGCTGCTTCTCAGGAGAGAGAACAACACAAAGCAGGCACTCAGCAAGTAGCAACTGTTACTGCTATAACTGTGCACTAACCTGTGCAGGGATGGGTTGCCCTGTGGCCCCCAAGGATGTGTAGACAAAACCTCAAGGATACTGACCTTCCTCTCTAGGCCAGCAGGCGAGGAAAGACACCTTCATCGAGGGAAGGATTCCTCTGCAACAGGCACTGTGCTGCCTGCTTCACAGGTGTTGTCTCCTTTAGTCCTCCCAACAGTCCTTCTTAATTCCACCCTCCACCCCATTCCCCTGCCCCATCCCCGCCCCCAGCCCCTTCTGGAAGCTTATCCTGAACCCTGCAGCCCATCTCTTCCACTGCCTCCTGTGGGCACTGCTAGGCGGACATTTTTCAGGAGCAAACGCCCCAGTTAGTTAGCACTGATCATGTATTTTGGGCTTCCTCTTCACGCAGACTATAAACTCAAAGACAAGTACCATGTTCTCGTTTTTGCGAGCTAAAGCACACAGCTTTATTGGTGATACATAAAAATGCCGACTTGGTGGACGAGGCTGAGTCAGTACAGCTCATAGAAGGGGAGTGTACATTTTTTGCTGAATAGGTTTACCATCCATAGGCTCGTGAAGAAAAGAGAGCAAATGAAAAAGAATTCAACCTACGCAGCAACCAATGCATTTTCGGCACAAGCTCCCATATGGGTCTGGTCTCCACAAGATGGTCCAGCTTAGACAGGGAGACCACCACAGGCAAGGCATCCCTTGTCAGGCTAGAAAATGTTGTTCTTTCACCCCACAGCTGAAACGATCCCTTTACCACAGGAAGAAGGCCGCAAGGGAGCAATTTACAATGCGCACTGCCTGCAGACTGCAAAACCAAGAGGTTACTCAAAGCTCTGTGGGAACCCCTGCCTGGCCAACAAGAGAGTGGTCCTGGATTTAGCAAGTGTAACTTTCACCCAGAGATATGGCTATTGGCTAAGGCTGGATCTTCAATAGCACCCACTGCAGAGTCTTTGATTGAGAACACAAGTGTGTGTTCACTGATCGGGATTTGGTTCGGGGTGGATCAGTCCCATCCTGTTGGAGGGGGCCATTTAAGAGGCCGGGATTTCTGGGAGAAGCTGTCTGTTTGTGTTCCTGATAAAGAGGGACAGGAAGGAGAGCAACATCTGGGCTCCCATCAACTCCCCCGCCAAGACTGGCTTTTCAGACAAACCCATCAAGGGTTTCACAACGTGCCCCTCAGCACATTCACTTCCCTCTGGTATCAAAGGAAACTTCAAGTCTGAAACGGACTTGGCAAGTATGTTATTAATAACTGTCATGATTATTAACAAATTTAATCCGGCCTGCTGCAGAAATGAGTTGCAGCAAAGTGACACGGTCTCCCGACACACTTCGTTGATGTACATCTTAATCTGGCCCTGATTTTCAACACTGGCTTTCAAGTTATCCAGGGCACAGAAAGCCTCAACAGCAGGGTCGGGAATAGGGATCGTGTTTCCAGCAGTGGAGAGGCTGGCCAAATGACTATTGATATCGTGGCTAAATGAAAAACCAGTGTCCCTGGGCTGAGATAACAACACTTTTCCCTGAATGAAAGGGCACTTGGAGAGGTCAAGAACGCAATTGAAATTTTCAATATCTTAACCAACACTAAAAAAAGTCCTCATTTTCATTAGTGAAAGAGTGATTTTTCTTCATTCAGACTATTTCCTCTTTGAGAGGCTCTAGGTTCCTACTGCCCATGTCTCATGTCAACCTCATCCCCAGGACTTGGCTTTTCCTGGATCTTTGAGTAAAGACCAGACCCCTTACCCATCCTTATCCATATGAAGTTCTCTGCAATTCTGGTTGTTTCTCACTGTGGTTATATCCTCTTCTGATTATTGGATGAACACTGTAACAACTTCTAGCCCTGACCTCCAGAACTGCTTTCACTAAATCAGCTTTTCGAGCACACTCTATATCTGTGAGAAGTCACAGGAGGTTCTCACTCTTTTAAAAGCTATCTAATTGTAATGTTCTAGGTAGGAGACTGTTGGACGTTCTTTTCCTGGACACAAATTGCACTAACTGCCATCTGACAGGAAACTAGTGGAAATGCAAATACATAGAGCTTTCATATGAGTTTCCATAGATATACATGTCAATACTCAGGATACAAGCGTATCAGTATCTCTCTTTCCTGAGTTAGGGTCTTAACTTTCAAACGTTTCTCCTCTGGTATTTATTTCCCTTAAGCTCATTCCCACTGTTTCCTCAGAGGTACAGCATTTAACTTTTCCAGCACCCAAGTAAGAGGAGAGGAGAGCAAAGGCAAGGAGAGGTAGCTGAGTTGCCTCTAGACCCTGCATTTTGACTCCAACCTCCCTCCCCATCCCTATCTCCAAGAGACAACAATGTGTGGAGCAATTTCCTTATTCCTTTGCCTAGATTTATGTCTACTTGTAGACACAGAAGAAAGAATGGAGACTGGTAGATGTACAGGCACATAAGTGTCCTCTCTCCAGAGTGAGAAGTCTGGCTTTCAGATGTCTCCCATTTAGGTCTTAGGCACAGCCCCTACCCTGCCCTCCAGACCCTTTCATCACCCCATCCTTCCCCCACAAATGCCCACCTTTTCCATTCCTCTGCGCCCCAGTCACTCTCTTGACCTCGGTTTCTTCCATCAAATGGCCACTTTTCTGTTCTACCCGTCATTTCTGCTCTATAAACACTGCTTCCCCAGAGCTAAAAGGATTGGGGTTAAGTAATGCTGATAGTGAAAGAACAGGTTCTGGTTTTGGGCTTGCCTCTACCGCCACCTTGTGACCGGTCCAGGCCCCACGTTTCCTTGAAAGAACTCACTTCAGTTTCTACTAAATATCCTGTATGTAATGGGTTTCCTTTTCCTTTCCTTTGGGTTGTGCCGTCCCCTACAGACAGACAAGCTAACCAACAGATAAAGGTCTGTGAACATTTAGTGCAGGGTGTTAGGCCACAGTTCCTACCTTTTACTGATTCAAGACTGTTAAACGGTCCACACCTCTCACTCCCAGATCCCAGCATCAGCTCTCCCCCTGACCTCATGCACCATTTAGAGAACTAAAATGAGCTGGTGGATAGCCGGAGGGTGTGGGGAAAGCTGACTCTGCCCCTTCAGGTCTCTGCTACCTAACTCCACCACGACCCCAAGACTCCCCAGGCAATGCTCACTCTCATACCAACCTGAACACAATCAGAGAAGTTTCTTCCTTCTTCGCTTGGCTACAAACACATCTCCCTGATATCAACAGGAAGCTGATGGCTGGACCAAAAAGACCACCTCTCCACAATTCTTGGTCACCAGAGATACGTCACCAATGAGCCATGGTCCCCAAGTTTCTCTCCTACCAGTAGTGATGCAAGAGTATGCCCGCCCCTCTCCTTTCCCCTGCAGCACACCAGACCTGTCACTCATTTTTTCTTTGCCAATCCTAGAGACCAAAAGATAAGGCATTTCCATTTTGTTGAAATTTGCCTTTCTCTAATTTCCAAGGAAGGAACCTATCTTCTCCTGGAGCAACTATTTCAGTTTATACTTCTTTATCTTCTCTTAGAATATAGGACAACAGCCCATCTCTTCACTTCCCCTCCACTCAGCCGCTAATATCCATTATCTTTCTTGGACCCATGAGAAAGCACATTGCATGAAATAAGACATAGAGCAAGAGATAATTTAGATATTTATTGCCTCTGCTCATTTTCTTGGAAATACTGGCTTTTTATAAAGATTTGTACATGCTTTTATATGCATAAGGAGTGATGTTTGCCAAAATGTCACCACTGGTTATTTCTGAGACATATATTTAAGGCATAATACATTCTAGGTATAGTGCCAACTGCTAAGGTCAGTGGGACATGGAGATGAACAGACTTGTCTCTTGGTAAAGACCACCTGGTTTCTCAGACAGGCCCCCACAAGGCAGCATTTACCTTACTGAGTTCACACACTCCAGGATCTAGATCTTAATTTTGTCTTCAGACTAAAAATATGCACAACTGGTGACCTTATGCACAACACAAATGCATACATATGTTCACCAAAAGACAAGAATAACAATATGCATAGTAGCACTGTTCATATTATTCCCAACCAGAAACAACTCAAATATCCATTAACAGTAGAATGGATAAATAAAATACAGTATATTCATAAATGTGGAGTATATTCATAAATGGCAATGAATACTATATATGCAACAGTATGGATTAATCTCACAATGTTAGCTAAAATAAAAAAGATACAAAAGAATACATACTGTGTGACTTCCTTTACAGAAAGTTAAAAAAAACACATAAAACTAATCCATGGTTTTAGAAGTCAGAATAGTGGTTACCCTTGGGATGCATTATTGACTAGATGGGCACATGGGGGAAGCTTCCAATGTGCTGTTCATGTTGTGTTCCTTACTCACTTTGTGAAAATTTATTGAGCTGAACACCTAGGATTTGTTCACTATTCTGTGTATATGGTATACTTCTACAAAAATTTACCGAAAGTTCTCAATAACGAGTTAGGGAAATGGGAGATGAGTAAATGAAACCAATCCTCCTGCTGATCTGGAGAAGCTGGACAAAACATAGATTTTCATTTCCCTGAAGGCACTAAAGGGCTAACAAGATGGTGAAGAATACCTGGTTCAGAATAGGAGTGGGAAAAGTTGAGCTTAATATTACGACCACTTTTCCCAATGGCGCATATGCAGTTATTGAGGGAACTACTGAGAGGCTATGTAGAATTTTGCTTAGCCTTGGGGGGCTAGGGAGACAGGTACTGGAATCCAAATCTTGCCAAGAGGTATACCTGGTAAACCCTAAAATCTTTGGATTGTGATGCTGAAAGAGCTGCGCCTCAGAGTCAGAGTGAAGGAGACGTAGACAGGCTTTTTTTTTTTTAACATCTTTATTAGAGTATAATTGCTTTACAATGGTGTGTTAGTTTCTGCTTTCTAACAAAGTGAATCAGTTATACATATACATCTATCCCCATATATCTTCCCTCTTGCGACTCCTTCCCTCCCACCCTCCCTATCCCACCCCTCTAGGTGGTCACAAAGCACCGAGCTCATCTCCCTGTGCTATGCGGCTGCTTCCCACTAGCTATCTATTTTACGTTTGGTAGTGTATATATGTCCATGCCACTCTCTCACTTTGTCCCAGCTTACCCTTCCCCCTTCCCGTGTCCTCAAGTCCATTCTCTAGTAGGTCTGCATCTTTATTCCTGTCTTGCGCCTAGGTTCTTCATGACCATAGGGTCTGTCATACAGAGTGAAGTAAGTCAGAAAGACAAAAACAAATACCATAAGCTAACACATATATATGGAATCTAAAAAAAAAAAAAAAAAGGTCATGTAGACAGGCTTTTACAAGGACTGCAGTTTAACTTTAAGTAATCTCAACCATTGGAAATTGGATTAAGGTAAGGTAAGTCCCTGTGCTATGCGGCTGCTTCCCACTAGCTATCTATTTTACGTTTGGTAGTGTATATATGTCCATGCCACTCTCTCACTTTGTCCCAGCTTACCCTTCCCCCTTCCCGTGTCCTCAAGTCCATTCTCTAGTAGGTCTGCATCTTTATTCCTGTCTTGCGCCTAGGTTCTTCATGACCATAGGGTCTGTCATACAGAGTGAAGTAAGTCAGAAAGACAAAAACAAATACCATAAGCTAACACATATATATGGAATCTAAAAAAAAAAAAAAAAGGTCATGTAGACAGGCTTTTACAAGGACTGCAGTTTAACTTTAAGTAATCTCAACCATTGGAAATTGGATTAAGGTAAGTCCAGAGTGCTAATGCCTCTGGGTGCCTTGCAGAGACAAATACAAATTCTCTTCAGAGAGAAACAATATCAGCCTCAAATTTTTTCTGAAGTTTCGTAAAATACTACATCTAGCACACAATAGAAAACAACCAAGTACACAAGAAGACAGGACAAAATTAACAAAAGTCATCAGAAATGACACACAATAGAAAAAGACACATCAGGGCTTCAGATATTAGAGTTATCAGACATATCAGATATAGATTTAAAATAAATATGCTTACTATGCTTAAGGAGATAAAGGACAATATAGAGAATTTCTGCAGATAAATGGAAACTATTAAAAAGTATAAAACAAATTCTAGACCTGAAAAATAGAATAATCTCAATTAAGAACTGAATGGAAGGATTTAACAGCAGAGTACATATAGGTGAAGAGAAAATTATTGAACAGGAAGGTAGCTTGGAAGAAACTATCCAGAAAAAATGCCAGTCACAAAGGGATGAAAAAATTGAGTAGCTAAGAGACAGAGAATACAGAAAGATTTCAAGTAACGTATGTATACTTGAAATCCAGGAAGAGAAGAGAATGAAGAGAGGAGAGAATGAATGAGGCAGAAGTAATATCTGAGGAAATAATGGTTGACAATTTTCTGAAACTTCCCAAAATGTCAAGCTACATATACAAGAAGCCATTCAAATATCAAGTAGGATAAAATTTAGGATTAGAAGATGTGGTATATATCATGATTTCATATATACTTATTTTGTATATTACCACTGAACTCTCTTATAGTTCTTATAGTTTTATATCTTTTTCGGTAACTAATTATGTAATATGCAATATGTGGCATAAATGTTGCAAGTACTTTCTCCAGGGTCAGTGTCAGAAGTCATTAATTGGTCATCTGATGGAGTCTAGGTGCAATAAATCCTTCTCAAGCTGCACTCTGTTGGGAGACAATTCTCTGTGGCTTTGTCATGTGCCTGCACATATTCTGAGTAAGGCACTCACTGCCCATTGTTCTGAACTAT